CTGATGGCTGCAATAAGGCCGTTGAAGAGCTCGAAGGTCCGTCCACGAGCAGCAGATTGTACAGAGCAGCACACAGCGTCGTCACCACCGAAACCTGCAGCTCGTCTCCAGCGTAAAACACCTCGTGGTCCTGTAGAATTTCGTCCAATTGCATCCGACAGAACTCGTCCAGCACCTGCGTCGTGGACGTCTCCAGAGTCTCAGCCTGCTTGCGTTTCAAGCACTTCTTCGTCGATTTAGTGTCTGATACGGCTGCATTCTTCACCTCCTTCTGCTCGTTCTCCTGCTTAAGTGCGTGGACAATTGCTGCAACCACCTGAGCATCGAAATAGTCCTCAGTATCGTCACTTTTCGACAAGAAATAGACCAGTACACTCAACGAGAGTCGAGACATCTCATCGCTTGTGTCCTTAAGTCTCACTAGCAGCAGCTTGAGTTTGTTGCGGATATTGCGGCGCTGACAGGACAGTTCCACGGCCTGTAGAAGGTGCGGGGCTTGTACTAATTGTACCAGCTCTAGGACGCTGCGAGTCTGCGCCAGACGCGCTCTAGGTGTCCTAACAAGCTCCAGAAGACCGTCAATTAGGTAGACGACGTCGTCCAGCTTGGCTGCTAGCTGACCGTCCTCCTGTAATAGCAATGTGCTCTGTAGTGTTACGGTCGTGGCTTTTTCTATACCCGAAAGGTGGTCCACGTGCGCGTGCTGCCTGCCGTAAAATGCGAACTTGTCGACAGCTTCAAGGCGCGATAACAGCGAGTCGGGGCCGTGACTGAGGCTTTGAGTTGTATCAGGACACTCGCCTGTGACGGCAGGACAAGAGCGGAGAGGTGTGAAGCGCCGAGGAGCCCGAGGAGCCCCGAGATAGCACGGAGGTGACGGAGCCATCGAAGTGAGCCTGTCTGTCCCTCGGAGTTGATTTGTATAGGACCAATCTGCTTATCTTATTCTAATTTCTAGATTTCATAAAATTGTGGATAAAAATAATTAGTCAGTCTAAATAAA